ATTTGACGATAAAAACACTCGTGCAACACGCTTACTAACTGATAAAGCAGCACCGATCAGTGAGTTGTGGACGATGATGAACAATAATCTTGCTGCACATTACAAGCCCAGCTCATGCTTGACGATTGATGAACAATTATTTCCTTACCGTGGACGCACACGGTTTACGCAGTACATACCGTCAAAACCTGCTAAATATGGTATCAAGGTTTGGTGGATTTGCGATGCCACAAATGCATATCCACTGCATGGACAAATATATACTGGCCAAGCAGAAACTGGTAGGGAAACGAACCAAGGCGAACGAGTGGTGAAGGATTTGTCTGCCAAATACCAAGGAAGTGGCCGAAACATTACAATGGACAATTTGTTTACGACCTTGCCAGTTGCAGAACTGCTTCTCACCTGGAAACTCACGATCGTTGGAACTTTGCGCAAAAACAAATCATATATTCCTCAAGAAATGAAGCAGAACAAAAACAGGACAGTTGGTTCAACGACATTTGGCTTCAAAAATAATGTGACAATGTGCTCTTATGTTCCCAAAAAAAATAAAGCAGTAATTTTGCTTTCGACCATGCATAATGATGCTGAAATAGCTGACAGTGGGAAACCTGAAATAATTGAATATTATAATCGTACCAAAGGTGGTGTTGATCGAATGGACCAAATGTTTGCGGAATATCCAACACAAAGACAAACAAAACGATGGCCACTAGCGATGTTCTTCAGCATTTTGGACATTACAGCTCTTGCAGCCTACATTGTCTACGATTTGAATAACCCTATGTTGCCTTGGAGAACAAACAACAAGCGTAAGCAGATCCTGCGCAGCTTGGCTGAAGCATTGTGTATGCCCATTATTGAAGCCAGAGCCATAAATCGTCAAGTGACGCGAAATTTTTCGACTAAAATTGCTATTGAAGCATATTTCAACCGACCGGTGGAATCAATGGTGTCAACAGCAGCATCAACATCTGCCGCAGCGCGCACGCCAAAACCTGTGTCCGGATCTTGCTATTTATGTTACGCACAAGAGGAAAAACGCCGTAGAAAAACCAGAAAGCTGTGCGACAAATGTAAGAAGCCAATGTGTCTTGAACATTCGGTCACATCAACAAATTGCTCTATTTGCCATGATTTTCCTTAGATATAAGATGCATTTTTATAATTTTTATAATAAAAGTCAATAATATAATGTGTGAAATGAATATTTTTAATTTTTCAAATAAAAAAATAATATAAAAAATGTTTTTTTTTTATTATTATGAGGATTTTTACTATTGGGGTACAAACGTATCCCGGGTGTGTGTTTACGTATATAATGTGTTTGGAAGGCTGTAGCTCCTGAACCAATGGTCCGATCTGGTTCAAATTTTGAATTTGAACTCAAAACTAAATAATCTTCCTAGTTAGCGGTATAGCGGTTCAAAAGTTACAACACTTCAAAGTTGAAAGTGGATACATTTGTACCCGGGTGTGTGTTCTAGGGTTAAACAGAGATCTCGCCATTATGCTAGATTCTTCAAGTGAAGATGAAAGCCAGGAGGATACATCCGACATTTCAGCCCCCATTTTATTATTAACCAAAATAACTTAATTTATGGGTCGATTACGGATGGCAACACAACCACGCTTCGGTTGTCAGCTGGCAATGCAACTGGAAAGAAAATTTGTATTACGAATGGCAACTATCGTCAGTTGCTGTAGTTATCGATAATCGAAATTTGACAGTTCAACAACCAGCAAGCGGCTGCAAACAAGCTGTGCGAGTAAAATTAAATTATTAAAATAAAGAGTTTTAAAGAAAAGACAGCAATAAAGCTAAATTTATCACAATTATTTGTTTAGGAGGAAGAGAAATGCATGAACGCGTCCTCAATCAGGCGACACTTAAAGGATAATTCCAATCTAGAGCTACCGCGTGTACTGTAAGCAAAAGTTAATGGTTTCTTTTGTTATCGTTTTGTGTTCATTTTCAAAGCATATTGAGGACTTCCAAAAGAAGCTGTAGTATAATTGGTTAATAAACAGATGAACCACTTCGTTCAACTTCAATACCTCCGCTCATAAAAGCTTGCGCACATCTTCGATTTTTCGCAGAAGGAACTGCCACAGCAATGACTTTAATTTGGAAAACTGGGTGTGTCGGTAGTTCTAAAAGAGGTGCTTCAATTGATAAAGGAAAAAAATTGCAATCAGTGTTCGCTTTTGTTTCGCCAAAAGGGCGTTGTCCACGGGAACTAAAATTTCAAGATATTGGTTTGTTATTTTCACCATATTCTGTAAAAGCAAACTGCATTGCAAAATGTTAATATCGTTCAAATTATTAAATATATGACACACTTTTCAATTTTCGCTCCTAAATACGCTCCAAAAACATTCCCAGCAACCACTAAAATGTAGTCGCCTGTATACACATTATGTAGCAACTGCAGTTGTCAGTTGCCAGTTGCCATCTGTAATATCGTTTTGGCAACTAGCAACGCAACTGAAGTTCGATTGCTATCGATAATCTACCCATTACTTACCCAATTGTTTCTTAAAAATACTTGAAATCCGCATTCGCATCCGCGGATGTTAGCTGTTAGACATCCGCATTCGCATCCGCGGATGTCTAAAGTTCCACATTCGCAACATCCCTAGTATATACTAAGCAGTTTGAAAAAAAAAAACAAAATTGCACCCTGGACGTCGTAATAGGATCAAAAGTTCGTTAAATTTGTTAAAAAAAAGTAAAGTAATAATTAACTTCTTTCTTATCATATTACGGTGAAATTTTTTTCGAAGCAGCATATTAAATATATGTTACCGGCCAAACCCGATCTTCGGACAAACTAGTTTTTCCTATGCTAAACTATTTAGTTCTACCTAGATCTAATATATCCGTCCAAAGCAGAAACAAGTTGGCCGCAACAATATTGTGGACTGCGTACCTGGAGTAGGACTGATGAGGGTTATTTTTTGTTGTGCGGCCGAAAGCCGCCTACGCGGAAAGGTGTTCTGCGGCCTTGTTGCTTTCTTGATGATATGTTGCTGATGCTAAACTGCAAATCTTCTGAAATGCTGGAGAAATTGCGCAGTAAAAATTATTATGTTGCTTTTGATTTGCCAATGATGAGCAACTGATTGTTTGGTCCTCGAACGCTTGATGTAAGCAGAGTCGCCCAAATTTTCGCGTAGAACGTGATGCTGTTTCATAAAAAGTAAATTGCCGCATTAATTGCAGCTCAAATACACCCTATATGTACATACTTATATATGTACTTGGCTCTACATCGTTACCTTAATTAACAAGGCCCTAACCAACAAATTTTTATTTTACAGAAAAAAAAAACTTAAAGAAATAATATCAAAAACAGGCAGGGTAACTCCGTTGTTTTTGGTACTACCACTTTAAAGTTTTTATTAAAGATGTATTTTAATATATCCAACCTAAATCTCGGAAAACCTCAGTTTCGGAAAAAGTGTTAGTTGGGCCTTTGTGAATTAAGGTAACGATATGAAAATTGGTCAAGCAATAAATAAAGCAATTTTTAAGCAAACATAGCCTCTGATGTTAGAGAAACATTGCATTAGAATTCTAATGTATTTCTCTAATGTTTCTCGAAGGTTAGAATTCGATTCGAGAATGATTAGAAAAACTCTAGACATTAGAAATCAATCAAACAAGAAAACACGATTAGATATCTAACCCTTTTCTGGATATTGAAAACTAAGTCCGAGTGAAATTTCTAAAAATGGACTTAGCAAACTTTCACCCTAAGCTTGCGATTTACTGATTTTGTAAGAAATATTTTTTACAAATATGCCAGGCCAATATAAAGCGAAATTGTAAGTTTAACAGACTATCTAAAGACCTTCCGCATAGTATCGATAGTGTCGACTATCGATAGTTTCAGACTACTAATTACAGTACAGATATATCAATAAACACGTACGACAGAAAAGGAACACATACGTTTATAAATAAACATGTATTTACTTCATTCAATATCAGTTATTTAAATTTATTCAATATCAGATATTTTATCATTCAATATCAGTTATTTTACTTCATTCAATACCAGGTATTTACCTTTTTCACTTCTCTTCACGAAACTATCCATATTTTTCACTTATCAAAACACCCGCTGAAACAGGAGAGTGCTGGTAAATGTACGCTGCCGCAATATCTTTTATTAAAAGGTGATTTATCAAATGCGCATGCAAAGTGACAACAAACGATAAAACAATAATGTAAGAAACACCAAAACTATCAAAAACTATCGATGATGGTACGATAGTCAAAAACCCATCGATAGTTTAAACTATCGAATTCAGACCACTAAGAGCCAATTTCACAATGCGTAGTTAACTCAGAATCGGCATTTAACTACAGATTTTTGTACTGAAAATCTCTAGTTATTAACTGCCGATTCTGAGTTAACTACGCACTGTGAAATTGGCCCTAACTGTAATGTTTTCGAAGGTACTAGCTCTTACTGCCAATATAGGAGTATTACATATATGGATTTATCTCCAATTAATGCAAATATTTTTTTCTTCATAATTATATTCTCTAACTAGAAAACTACTCTTATAGCCGTTTTCGCATTTGCGTTGAATTTGCACGATCCACAAGCAGTTAATTTTCGGTTATGATTTTGGAACTGTGCCTCTTTTTAAAATAGTGTGCGATATGTATTTATGTATATACATAAATAAATTTATATAACAAACGAAGCAGTCAATAGTAGATTTTATATTGTTTATTTGGAAAATCTAAACAAAAGTTGAACAAATTGATGCTAACCTAGAGGAAAAGGTTTGGAAATAATATTGAAATGTTTAAATATCCGCTTTGCATTACTTTGCATTACCCTTTAGAATTAAAAAAATACATACTACCATCAATGCTTGATGATTTATGATAGCGATGTGCTTTTTGAAATTTCACCGTCTCCCTCAGTTTACTTTGCCCGATGTTTTTTTGATCAATTTTATCATTATAGCATGTGTTAATCATCGTTTAGACTTGAATTTACGCTTTTATTGACTGATTTGTTGACTATTGTTTTGTAAGGATGTCAAAACACGTATTCAACTTTAACTTGATACGGGGTAGGTAGTGGGCTTAATCAATATACTGCGCTAACCAACGGAAGCCTTCTCCATATCCTTGTCGCTTCAGGACCGAAGACATGAACAACTCCAGGGGACGGCCCGGCAACTCAGAACGGGACACTTTGCCCTAAAATCAAATATAACCGAATTGTGTAATTTTGAAATAAACATGGTTACCAAAAAATGTTACAATTACCTTTCCGGTTGTCAATTGGTAGAGGCCGAAAACATTTCTAAGCTCGTCTTCGCTTGCCGCTCCTGGCTTATCGATTTTGTTACCCAAAATTAGCACAGGACAGTTTGACAGCGCTTCATCTGTTAACAGTGAATCCAACTCGATTTTACTCTCTTGGAAGCGACCACGGTCCCAAGCGTCTATCAAAAACACAATAGCGTCCACAGCTGGAAAATAATCTTTCCATACGCGCCGAGCTGAATAAAATTTTTTATTAGAATACAAAGTTTACAACAAGTTGAGTAGACACGCTGGATGTGTTTCATCTTGGCATCCAGCATTAAAATAATTTCAAAATTAGGAGTAAACAGGTAAATGATTGAAAACAATTTTTCTCATAGCGGGGAAGTACGTCAATGGTCGAATGGTGGAATAACACGAAAGCTAACGCCTAGTAAATCCTGTACCGATTTTTAATTTATTTTTTTAAGCCTTATATTATATGTGCTGTTGTTCCTAAGACATAACATCGACCGAATAGGTTATTAGTTATAATTCTTTGATAATTTTCACTCGCGATTATTACATTGATTACACCGGCACACAAAAAAAGTTCGAGTGCGAAGACTGCCACATATAGGTTCTCTTCCTTGTGTGGTATATAAAGACCTCTAGGTAGGCCCACATCGGCATTGGTTCTTTACCCCGTTTTGCAGGCATGGAGGGGGTGTGGTTTGAGAAATTGATGTGAATTCAATGTTTTTTTTTACTTAAATTGAAATTTTGCTTATTGATTCAGATTGAGTGACTTTTCATTCATGAATATTGACTACTTATATTTGAAAAATTTTAAACGACTGATCCAAAATGGCGGATCAAAAATGGGGGATGTTAAAGAACCAATCCCGAGGTGGGACCACCTAGAGATATTTAGATATCCCTACCATGTGGCAGTCTTCGTACTCGAACTTTTTTGATGTGCCGGTGTTATTTAACGAAGCTTTTGTAAAAAAACTTTTGGAGTAAAAATCTCGAGGAAAGATATCCTACAAATCTGTGATGTTACTATAAGGATGCTGATTCAGGGCTAATACATACATCTAAAAGCATAGACTGACGGCAACGTTGATCCGGATTAACGCCGCAATTGATCTGATCAAAATTGTACCTTGACAGACGGCAGTAATGCGGATTAACGAGCCGCGAGATCGAATCCCACAGCCAGTAGAATATTCATTTGATTTTTTTTATTGATTCAATTATAACTTCTATATTTTTTTAAGTTGTTTTAGTTACTGTTTTGGACTAAAACAAATAATAAAAAGAAAATTTTTTTGGCAATCGCTCCAACCGAGGATCGAACCTGGTACCTACAGGCTTGTAGTACGCAGCTCTCCCCACTCGGCTACCGCGGATGAAGGAATCGGTTGCTTTATTTGCTCAGTTAGCGTAGAAAAATTAGCTTACAACAAAGAAAATAAAAGATTCTTAAAACAAAGCCGAGTTAAGGAAAAATCAATACATCAATTATTTAACGTAGTAATATCAATTAGCGTACGAGTGACTGGCCCATTCAATGCATATTTGGACATAAAATTTTCAATGGCAAACATATTATGCCGACGCAGATTCTTAGGTGGCACATGACATTTCAAAGACTCTAAGAGTATGGGGCAATCGATGTAGCCATTGACAATATCATAAATAAAAGTAATTGCCGATATAACTCTTCTACTCTGCAATGTGTGTAAATTAATTTGCACCTGGAAGCATAAGGAGGTAGGGGCAAGTCGAATTTAAGATCAGATAGACAATATTTCAGAAAAGTTTTTTGAACGAGTTCAATTCTTTTATTTTGTCGTAATAGGGACTCCATATTATAGAGCCATATTCAGGCCTAGATCATACCAAAGAGTTGTACAATAGTTTTCTAGTATATGGGTCCTTAAACTCCGAGCTATTCCGTTTAATAAAGGCTAGCATCGAAAAGGCTTTGGGAATTACAAAATTGAGATGTTCAGTAAACGTGAAAGATGCATCAAAAACAATACCCAAATTACGAATTTTGTCAACCCTAGCTAACGGCGTATCAGAAACTTAATAACTCGAAATCAAGTTATTAATGAGTTTAGAGTAGGTAATAGTGTAGCATTTATTAGCATTGAGTGTCAATTTATTCCTGTGGCACCAATCACTAAAACAGTTGAGTTCTTATTGAAGCATGCGCGAATCAGATGTATTTTTAACCTTCAAAAAGATCTTTAAATCATCTGCATATAAAATATACCTACATTGGCTAAAACTAACACTTACATCGTTAATGTAAATTATAAAGAAAAGCGGGCCAAGGATACTCCCCTGAGGAACCCCGGAAGCTGCTACGTAAGGAAATGATCTAACATTATCAATAACCACGAAGTTGACTCTGTTACGCCAATAAGATTTTATCCAAAGCAAAAATGGGGAACAGAAACCTAGTCGTTGTAACTTATCCAATAATGCACTATGCGACACTCTGTCGAAAGGCTTTGAAATGTCAGTATAGATGCAATCAACCTGACAACCATCTGTGAAAGCTGAAACGCAATAACTAGAAAACACTGCAAGATTGGACACTGTCGAGCGTCCAGGAATAAAACCATGCTGAGACGGACAGATGAAAGATTTGACTACGAATGATAATTTAGCCATAACAATCTTCTCAAAAAGCTTCAAAATAACAGGAAGCTTAGATATTGGACGATAGTTGGAGACATCATTTTTGTTACCACTCTTGTGAATAGGGTGAATATAAGTAATTTTCCATTCGTCAAAAAAAATTCCAGACTTTAGTGACAAATTAAATATATGTATAATGGTTCAGCAATGGTAGACACATTGTTTTAGAAAAAAGGATGACAGTTGATGATTATCACACTGCTGCTAATTTTTGAGAGTCTGGATACTTGGTATAATATCATCAGTATCAAGAACTAAAGTGCGGAAATCTAAATACGGCACAATATTACTTAAAATAACACCATCATCCTTCCAAGAATCTTCCGCCTCAAAGTTTGCCTTAAAAAATTCCGCAGAAAAATTTGCTGACTCATAGGATGAAGAAGAGTTTTTGCCTTGATAAGACACTGACAATGGAATTGCTGACGACGATTGCTTCGAATGATGTTCCAAAAAGATTTCAGATTGGACTTAATATTATTATCGAAACCTAAAACGTATTGATTGTATAAAAATTTATTCAAACAATTGAACTCTTTCATGTACTTCAAGTATTGATGCTTGTGCTGAGGGGATGCCGATTCCTTAGAGCTTAAAAAATTTATCGCGCAAATTTTTAAGTTTCTTTAGCCTATTTGTATACCAAGGCAATTTATGCACCCTTGCTGGAAAAAGAGGAATATTGTTTTTCGCTATTTCCGAAATATTACTTTTAAATATTTCAAAACAGTCTGCAAGATTACGTTCCAGAAACAAAAGTTGCCAATCGATGTTAATTCTTTAAATTATTTACTAGGGCAAAATCACATCGACTATAATTGAATTTAACATCATTCCTAGATACAATATGCGCATACTTATAAAATTCTAATTCTAAAATTAGGGGCACGTGATGCTTATCAGTAACGGATATCGGATTACAAGAACGCAGCAAATTATAGTTTAAATCATTACTAACAAAAATAAGATCTAAGATTTTTTCTAGTGCATTTACAAAATGATTAATTTGCACTAATTGTAAGCTATAGAAACTATGAACTAAATGGATTTCATTAGCATAATTGACCTTGTTGGGTATGAGAATATTCTCATCCGGCAAATAACTCCATATTATTTTATTCAAATCGCCTAATACGCATAGCTGCTCGTTAGAATTAGTCCTCGAAATATGCATAATGTTATTAACATGATAATCATATAACTTATCAGAGCTGTTTGGGGGTATATAAGATACACTAACATAAAGAATACCTTTATTACCCACTAGAGAAATGATTAGCTGATCAATGAGCGCATTAGCGTTACTAAGAGGTACCACGGAAGTGCGTAGTTCCTTCCTCACACCTATAAGAACTCCCCTACCTCGGGTAAGACCTGTCTTTACGACATCCGATCTTTGCGAAAGACGTTGTATAGCTGTTTATCAAAAAATTCAGCGTCGAAATAATCCGCAGTTAACCACGTCTCAACAAGAACTATCAAATCATAATCATTCTTACGCTAAGTGTACACGGTAGAGAAAAAACGCGAGATTTAGATACAAATCTCGTTAGACGTGTAAACAATCAATAGAGACCTACGAGAGACTCATCTACAAAGTCTACGTGAGATTTATTTAGCGAGACTTTTTCGCCGTGTACACAGTCCAACGCAGCTAAATCTAAAACTCTACGACAACTATACGCTCTATTTACCAAGCTAAATAGATTTTTTGCTCTACAGAGAAGTATAGTAAAGTCTTGATAATGAATTTCATTACGGATTGTTAAATTTTGAAATGGCTAAGACATTAAACCGTATATTCGATACAAGCACACCATTTTAAGTACATTTAGAACGTAACCAAGTAATGTACCGGGAATCATTCTCTTATATTCATTCGCATTTCAATGGCTTTTCCAATAGCCTCCGTCCTTTGCAAAGGGGCATAATTATTGGTTAAAACATAAGGGGTATTCACAAATTGAGCAGGTGGTCTGGCACTCCGGCAACAGTCGTTGCTTGAGTTATCTGCTGTTTTGTCAGAGGGCCAGGCTACTTGCTCAACTTGGTGAATATAATAATAATAATAATAGATTGGCGCTTATACATATGTTAGTGTTTGGCCGAGCTTCTCCTCCGATTTGTGGTGTGCGCCTTGATGTTGTCACACAAAGCGGAGGGACCTACAGTTTTACACCGACGATTGCATTTTTATGAGAAGCTGTTTTTCATGCCAGAAATACACTCGGAGGTTTGCCATTGCCTGCCGAGGGACGACCGCTGTTAAGAAAAACCTTTTCCTATATTTTTTGCGATGTTGCTTTGACCAGGGCTTGAACCCAGGTGCTGATGAGCGAAAGCGCGTACTGCTTACCACTACACCTCAGCGGCCGATATATAGTAGTTTGGCTGAAACTGCTCGGAGACACCCCTTTCAAGGGAATTTTAAATATTAAAGAATGTTTGATGTGAGTCGAGAAGTACACATAGTACCGAAGAGGGAAGTTGCCATGTTAAATTTTTAGGTACATTTGTTTACTTTTAGGTAAACTTTTTT